ATTTAACTGCAGTTTGTGCACCATATGTGATTTCACTAGGAGTAGATGAGGACTTGAGCTGCTTCACTGTGTTTTCACTCACCACCAAAATCAGCAGGAGCCAAGAGTACTTACTGGAGGTAATTTTCAACAATCTCCTGCAATGCTCACATACCAGGTAAGAAAAGCCAAAAGGTTGGATTTGCAGCACGTCTGCAGCCCCCGGTGATGAGGATGAGGTTTCTGATAAATGCAAAAAAGGATAACAAGTTTAGAAATGTTTCCATTGGAACTTCCACGGAATGGTTTATCGTCAACAAGAGGCGGGTGGTGTCATTTATATTTGATTTTCCGTTTTCTGATTAGAGAAGAGGAAGCTGCTCTGTTTTCTGATAAAAAAGAAAAGTTACATTCCAGAAATTGGCAGTTCTGTAAAATATCCTTCCCCTGAAAAAAAAAAAAAAAATCCACCATTAAAAAGGCCAAATAACAACAACCTGGAAATCAAAAGCCAAATTCATTTCCATTATCCATTTTCTTCCAAAATGTGAAAACATTTAGTGGGAAATTTTAGCAAGAGCAACCATGTGCATCCTGGAAATCCTGATATTTACTGGACATAAAAATAAGTTTAAAAAAAAAAAAAAAGCCATATTTTGGCCAACTCTTTCAGGAAAAGAAAGGAGATCTGTGCAGCCCAAAATGTTTGTCCATGTCCCTGATTGGGGATGGAGTGAAAGGATGAAGGCTCAGATCATTTCCTTGTGCACTCCTATGGGTTTGCTTAGTTTCCTGTTATTGTCCTGGCTCTGCTCCCACCCGCGCTGCTCAACAGGTCTGTGGGGATGCGGGACCCAGCCTGGCATTGGACTCCAAAAAAGCTGGCTGCCTTCCCTCAAGATCATTCACCCAGTGACAGTGAGCTGGCAGTGACTTCCCAGATCGACTTATAGCCCGACCTGAAGCTTTCCTCCTGCCCAAGGTGAGAGGAGAAGGAAGAGCAGCTATGTTTTGTTGAGAATAGGTGTCTTTGGCAAGGTTGGTCTAAATCAGAGGGAACACTGGTGTACTCTGGCGATTTCTTACATAAAATGAATTTGTGAGTTTGGGGGATAAAGGAGAGCATTCTTCTACCCTAGAAAAGGAAATAATACAGTCAGATTAGTTTGAGGAAAGTGGCAGCCTTCTCTTCTTCTCCAGACAAGCCATGGCAGTGCATCCCAACCAGCCATCCAAAGGATGCTGTTGGTAACCACACACTGCCATCCGGCCACTGCACATCTCCTCACAGCAGCTCTACTCGGGCCTGGATCCATTGCCATTCCTGCAGGAATCTCTTCCTTTTCCTCAAAACCAGAGCCCGTGTTGGGAAGTGTTCAGGAAACGGGGGCAACTTCGGTCCTTTCTTTTCTGGGCAGCGTTAACAGCTCCACAGCCCGAAGAATTTGTCTTGCAATCCCCTCTGCGGCTCAGCTTTCAATTCTCTATTCAACCAGCATGAATGAAGTGAAGCCTTTATTTGCATTCTCTTCAAATTGCCCTTCACCGCTAGCATGAGACCTTTGGAAGTTTGTTGCAAGGAGCAGCGGAGCCAAGATATTTTAGCTGGGCATGATGCCCCACCGCTACCGCAAAAAAAACAAAATAAAAAAAATCACTTCAAAGCAACTGCTGAGTCAGAAAAAAACAGGGCTTGGATGCATTCACTTCCCAAAGATCACAATGCAAAGCCCCAGTGGGAGGAGGAGCAGGGAGGGAGGTCAATGGAAGCGGCATTCCCTGTCCCTGAGTCACTTCTCCTTCAGGAATTCGGGAGATCTGGCTTCTCCACAGCACAACTGCTGGCACAGGAGGCTTTATAAAGAAATGCCGCAAGGAATGGCACTTCACAATGCTGCCCATCCTCTGTTTTGGGGGTGAAGAGCTATGCAGCAGCCCAAGCCATCCACCAGTATCATGTTTTCAAGGCGAGGAGCTGTGTGCTCTAGTGCAGAACGTCGCCTAGGGTTGCCTTCAGGCTTCCTTCCCCAGTGTGGCAGAAAGAGGGGAAAAAACACCTTTGTTCTCCTTTGGCCTTTACGTCACTGCCGCTCTTAAAAAGCAAAGAGCTGGCCCTGTCCAAGCCCTTTATGTTATTTTCAGTTCTGAAAAAGCAAAGTGTCTACAGAAGGGTTTTTTCATTTGAGATTTTCTACAGCTTTTAAATTGATGCAGTGTTTTCTCCTGCACCTCCCACCATATGTTGCACACAGGATGGTTCTTACTTTGGGGATGAAGGGAATAAGGGACCTGCTGCCTTCTCCCCCCAGAATGCACGAAGACTGAGGAATGGCACGGCATGGCCACCAGCTGCCATCATGGGTGTGTCACCAAATGGGTACCCAGTGTGTCCTACCCCATTCCACTCAACATTCCATCTTGAGATTTAAAAACAATTCCCACTCTGCATTTGCTCAAACCTCTTAGTGTTTTTCAGTGGAAGAAGGAAGTCCACCCTGGGGTAGCCTAGATACTGGTGGTCTTACCAACAGGGCATGGAGAATGAAATCCCCTCCGTGATGCCAGCAGGGTGGGTACCTGCATCTCCCACAGACCTGTACAGTGCCCAAGCTACCCTTCCTCCTGTTTTATCCAGCCTTGCTAAAACTGGTCCAGTCCTGCAGGAAGTGCTGATGTTGATGAATCAACATTTTCCAGCTAAAAACGTGGCATTTGCAATTTCCCAACAAGTCTTAATTGAGAGCATTCAGAAGAAAAGCAAACAAACAAGCAAGCAAACCAAACAATAGCAGAGGGCAGGGAACAAGCTGGGTATCTCCGACCAGCTGTCCTCACTGGAGCACTGCTCCCTGGGCTGTAGCAGCAGCCTCCAAAGCTTGTCTTTTTGCAGCTTCTTTCCAATGGAAGCTGACTTTGTCTTAGCAGAACTATTTGGCAGATGTGTCATTCTACTTTCTTACTCGTGTTTTATAGGTATGTTGGATGTATTCCCATGCTATGGTCTGGGACCCCAAAACTAAAATAGGACAACCCATCTAGATGTTTCTCTATTTGTTACCAATGTGTTGAGACAAATATTTCACTAAACCCTTTAGGATTCAGTGACTCTTACCCGGCTTCTCATTTGTCTAACGCCAGTGTAGGGCTCTGAGCTTCCAAGCACTGTGTCTGCAGACATCTGGAGCCCCAGACTCTGGGATCTGAACCTCCTGCAAAGATAGATACCATCTGTAATACAAACTCTTTGTAGAAAGGAAGACCCTCTTCTTGTCTTGACCAGGAAATTATGTAGACACAGCTGGCACAGTAGACATGCTCATGCATCCTCCCTTTTACCCCCACTGATTGGCTGTAAGGATCACAGCAAAATATGTGGTGCTCTTGAGAACATGAATTGGGGTGGAAGTGATGCATGCTTTCCAACAAAAGCTTCTGGGTTATTCAGTAGATACAGTTTTGAAAAAATTTCTATCCATAGACCGATCTTCTCTTCAATCATACAGAGACACCAAGTGCTTTCATTACAAATGTATGGTGTTGGAAGACAGTGGGATGAGTGCATGGAAAGTCTGTGATAGGAAGAAAGTGTGGTCCACTCAGCAGTACAGGAAATGCAGTGGTATCTCCATGGACTTTACTGCTGTTTCCATCCCCATAGCATAGCATTTGGGCAAGTGCTGATATGAGCAGTCATTGAGGCAGCGCCATCTCCTACACCACCTCTTTCTCTTCAATTTTTCTTAATCCCAACTTTTGCCATCATTTAGACCTGTACAGTTTTGGCAGGGGTTAGAGATGGAAATCTCAGACTTGCAGTAGCAAGTCTCAGTCTCATCACAAAAGAACCTCTCTGCTTACTTGCTTTCTACAGACCCTGGCTATTTAGTCCAGGATCTTGGTCCTTTGTGATGCAGGACAAATCCCAGTGTCTCCACCAAGTCTTTGATTTTCAGCTGTGAAGGAGAGCAATTCCTCATGATCTACAGCAAATGCTAGTTCTCTTGGATCTGCTTTCCTTCCAGATCCTGCAAGTGGGCCCAACTATAGAACCTCTTCTCTGCCTATGAGCTCAGAATGACTTTTCTTTGGGATAGATGAGCAAAAAGTTGGGCTTGCAGGTGCAAAAACATGAGAGGAATTTAAAGCAACATGCATCAGCTTCTTGATAATCCTGCCTGTCTGAGTGCCTGGAGGTGCTTTGTTTCTGACAAATTTCAGGGATTCTGCAAATGTCTGGTTAAATGAGAGAGGAAATTTGCGGTGTGAAGTGATTGTTGGCAGCAAGGGAAAGCAGAAGGCAGTCACGGAGGGCAAGCATCTGATCCAGGACCAATATACTCAAAGCACAGCCCCGAGCATCAACAGTGATGGATGTTGCACTGGTGGCAGACAGCTCAACGAAACTCTTTTTGGTCAAAATCTGCTTTCTGCATCTGATTTGTCAAATACTTGTGGATAGCAGGCACGTCCCATAGTAAGAACTCTGCCTGGGCCTCTGATGAGCAAAAGGGAGAACTGGACACACTTTATGAATTGGTTGTGGCATTTGGCCATGATTCTTCTTGTTGCAGTTAATAGGTGACTTAATTCTTTGCTTAATCAGGACTGTTCCCATTACACAACTGAGGAAGTTCCGTCTCCTGGCCTCCTCACTATATTTAGGCTGTGAACTGCAGGAAGCTGACCAGCATGTTGTTTTTGCGTGTGTTCCCAGTAACATTTCCCTAGAAAGAGAAGTTTCTCTCAATGCTTTCCTCCTCTTCTGCCTTGTCCACCAGGCACTGAGGGTAGGGGGTGCTCTGTGGGTCCCCTCCGGCTGTTCAACCTGCTTCCCTCCCTTGAAGCTACTTTGGGTGTTAAGCGATGGCTGGCTCCAGGAGCATTTAAAACTGCCTCCTCTGAGCACAGCCAGCCAGCCCCTAAAGCAAACGGCGGTGTCCCTTCCCCAGGAAATGTACACAGACACAATGAACGCACAAACCGTGGACACATGAAATGGCCCAAGTCTTCCAGTAGATCAACAAAGTTTATTTAAATGCTTTGAAGGTGCGATAGAGTAAGTGCATGTCTGTGCCCGTTGCTGGCCTCTTGGCTAGTTGCAGTAGTTCTCCAATTGGTAGAGGGAGCATGTGTTATGGCAGCATTGCTCAACAATCCCTCGCTTGACCTTCTCGTATTCCTCCTGCTGGAAGGGCAGCACTCCTGCCTCACCACGGAGGGGACTGCTCACTGCCAAGAGAAAAGAAGGTAAGTCATGGTTCATCCTACACCAGCCCTAGCTGTTGAGCCCCAGGGAGACCCCCTTTTCAGATACCAGGTGTGTAAACCAAGAGCTGCCTGGGAAATGAGGAGAACTTGCAAAGATTTCCCAAAGCTGATGCTCTCAGAGCACTTCAGGCACCAAAGTTCCCTCTCCCCAGGTAACCCCCTGGTTTACAGGGAAGCCACGTGGAGTGGACAGAGGGATAGAGGGTCTTTACTGGGGGAGGTGTGTGGAGAAGAGGAGATAGTCTGCTCAAAGCGATGAGCTTGGGAACTTGTGGGCAGAATTGTTCAAGTTTTAAATGCCCAATGAAAATACAGAAAATGGCGAATAAAATAGAGATTTTTTCCTACAGGAAGAAAAGAGCCACTAACAACCAAAAGAAAGTGTCTGGAAAGCAAGACTAAAATGCAGTTTCTAGGGCAGCAGAAAAGCATAGCACAAGATGCAAAATCCCTCAGCACCCAAAGTGTGATACAATGAACAAGGCACATGAGTAACAAGAAATCATTATGCTGGTTTGCTAAGGGAAAAATTTAGAAAAGATTTAGCCCAATATTAAGTAGAAGAGGAAATAGCTAGTTGATGTTTTGTGATTTATTTGTTTCCATCCTTCAAGCAAGCACACTGCAAACACAACAAACTCGTGTGACAAAGAAGTAGTGGCTCAGGTGAAAATCCTAGAAAAACAGGTAGGAAATCCTCAGATGTTTTCAGACAGGTTGTCCCTGATTAAATTCTCCTTACAACATTTAAGGAACCCAAGTAATTCATCATGGTCCTCAAGAGCAAATCGTCAAGCAAGTAAGCAACTGGCAGCATGCCTTGCATTTCAAAGCAAATTGTGGCCAAATCTCTGCTTGCCTTCTGTGACTTTACCATGCTTCACCTCCCAGAGACCACTGAGACTATTCCACAGGGCAGTCACATATGCAGGGGAAAGATGCACATGCAAATGGAACCAATATGTGTTAGGAAGAGGACTGGAGGGAGAACTGTACTGTAGTTAGGGGAGGTAAATATTGTTCTATCTTGAAGCTGGAGAGTTAAAATGATTGGGACTTGGCAGGAGTCTCTTCTCCATCTATTGAAAATCTCCACTAGTGGCTCAGAAGATGGAGGAGAGAATGTGTTTGCTGGGTTATAGGGCACCTGAAGCTGAGAGGAACTGCAAATACCTATCTCCAGGAGAAACAATACTCTTGCATTACAGCTGGTGCATTACAAGTTGTGGCCTCATCTAGATACTAATAGCATGCTCAAAAGCTTGCTGGACTACCTCATCCCATCTGCTTGAGATCTTGCAGAGCTTGCTGTTGCACTCAGCTGAACAAAACCAGGTTGTGTTGCTGTGTATTTCCAGATTTCCCTCTTCTTGTAGCTGCTAAGAGCAGCTTTTATGAGAGTTAGTTGAGTGTGGGACATGGCTAATGGTGGTGAGTTGACATAGGAAGTGGTAGGGGTCTTTGCCTTGGGAGAAGCTGTGGTAGCTGGAGAAGAGTTAGACTTCCCAGCCATAACAAGGGCTGTGGTCCTTATGCAGTGCTTCCACCTCTGATGTTTCCACACCTGCATTTCTCAGTGATCGCAGTGCTGAGGGGAGGCAGCATTTCCAGTGGGTCTCAGCATGGCACACTGCACCCCACACCATTCCTAAGTGACAGCTCAGGAAGGAGATTAGCAGCAAACAGAGAGCAGAGAAGTTGTGCTTTTTACTGTTATGCTTCTCTTTTGCAAGTCTGTTTTCAATCTTGCATTTTAACTGCTGATAGGAGCCATTCACTCTGCCCACAGCTCTGCTGGATATTGGGCTGGATCACAAGTGAATGCAAGAAGCACAGGACCGGATCTTTCCCCAAAGAAAATGTTCAGACAAAGAGTTTGAGACAAGTTCAGGAGTTTCCAGAGCTTGCTGGAGGCTGGTAGCTTCCAGAGTGGATCGGAAACGCCTGGCTTGGTGGGAATGAGCTGCCTCATCTGGGGGCAGGGCAGGTGGCAGGGAGCTGAGTAGCTCTGAGCTGATAAAAGTGTTTCCTGTGTTACCGATTTACAGAAGAGCTGCTCTGCTGAAACAAAAGGCAAAGCAAGGAAACCAACCTACCGCATTTCTGTGGGGGCTGCAGAATGTCAGCTTTTTGTCCTCTTAATCTGCTGTACAAAATAAGGTAAAGATGGACACTGGCTGCATCACAACTTACTCTGGCTAATCCATTTACCACCGTGAAATAAGAGACAATATAAAGCTGTGGGGGGCTGCAAGCCTGCTGAAGGACAAGATTAGTACTCAAAATTACTTAGGAAACTATAGAAACCCTTTGAAAAGATGGGATGCTGTTAATCAAGGAATGGGAAAGATGCTAGAGGAAGGCAGGAAAACAGTGTTGTGCAATCAAGACAAAGGGTAGACTGGGGTGAATTGCTAGTTGTGGTCCTGCAAGGACTGCTGATCCAACTAAGGCCTGGCCAAGGCATCCAAGGGAGACAATGAAAGCAGGTTTGGTGCTGCTTTGAAAAAGATAACCCCCCTGTATAGGAACATGGTGTGAAAACCATACAACACTCTTCTTCCAGTTTGCTCATTCTTATAGCTGGCAAGGCTTCTCCAGCCATCACCATTCCGTAACGGCTTGGACCAAATGCAGAACAGTTTGTGTAGACATAGAGCTAGAGTATATGACCTAAAAAGAAATTCTGGGGCTGTTGAAGGCTTTTGGCTCACAGTAGGTTAAAACAAGACATGGAAGCAGTTTTTAAACAGTTTGAAAATCACCCATGAAGGAGAAATGGTAGACCCTTTTGTCCACACCAGAGAAGATGAGGATTAATTTATGACAAGGAACATTCAGGCTAAATATTAGGAGGAAACATTCAAGAAAAAGTCAGTTAAGCACAAGAACAATCAGCTTCAGAAGGCAGGAGGCTTTTATGACCACACTTGACGTGGTCATAGAACAGGATTGGAATAGTGTGGGTCAAGAAGAATTGCAGAAAGAGGCTTCTTGAGTTCCTTCCACCTTTATTTTTCATGATCAATCCCAGGTCAGTGTAATTGCCATGCAAATGTTGGGATAACACTGTTTTCAGCCTCTCTCTAACAAGAGAGAAGCAAAAAGTTTGGAGCTTTCTATGACAATTCCTTCTGCCTCATAAATCCCCTTTCCCTGCTTGCCCTCCCACCTGCCTTTTTAGCCTGAAGATCTTTTCATGGGCGATACGATGCTGTTGGTATGTTAAAGGTATTCCTGGCATTCCCCATCAAGAACATTCCTTGTGTCACCATTAAATAAAGGCAGTTGCTTTTTGCATCATGTAGCATATGACTGTAGTCCTGGTCAACCTGACTTACCTAGAGGCTGCTCGACATCCCGTCGGGCTTTGGGGGAGTAGAAGAAGCCACGCTCTCCACACACCAGATAGAGAGCCTCCACCAAGTGGGAGCCACAGAGGTGCTGGTTGGCAGCTGCATAGCTGGTCCCAGGGCCAGAAAAAACAAGGAGGGCCAGAAGAGGCAGTGATCGGATCCAGAGAGCCATTGTGAACTGGGGGAGGCCTAGGGGTAGGAAGCAAAGGAGTCACAGGGAGGGTTGCAAGGGAGGAATAAACTGTCATCAGGCATCTTATGTCCCTCAGCTTTTTAGGCGTGAAAACAAGACTACAGAAGCAAATGGACTTTCTGAAGAAGAAAGGAATATTTTATGCATCGGGCTTTGAAAGTCATAATAAATGACCAGTTATAACCAGAAGCCTGTCTCCATCCACACACTCACACCAGTGCTGGCCTCCCTGCTGATTTCTCGTAAAGAGACAAACCAGATTCCAATATATATATATGGAGTGGCTTTTCATAGCATAGCCTTCAACCCTTGAAGTCATTTAAATGTTTAGGGTTTAAATCCAAAGGCTTTTATTACTCAGACTCAGTGTATGCAGAGGATGCTTCACAGGCTGAGCAGCAGAGGCTGCAGTGCAAAAATCTGTCTTGGACACTCTGGAGCAGGGGCACTGGTGCTGGAAATCATTTTGCCAAGCCCTGTGGCATACCTGCCCAGGAGAGCAGAGATCAACTGGCACCTTCAGAGAAGAATCCCACTCTGCCAAAGCAAAAGGGGCTGTACTTTATGCTGACCCAAATCAGAACTATGTGCTCAAAGACCCGAGGAGAACAAATTTCCCTGGACTATCAAGCCAGCTCTTGTTACCAACTACTACATCCACTTAAGAAAACAGCTACACAACCCAGTAAGAAGATAAAAGGAAGGCAACTGGACTTACCCAAAGAAGAGAGAAAGAGGCGGAGAGAAGTTTGGTCTCAGAGATGAAGACTGGTAGAAATTTCCCCATTCTCTTTCCCATATTTATATGATTTACACTAGCACAACTGACACAGGATCTAGGACAAGCCCCACCTTCTCAGTGACGCTCTAGCCAAAATTTTTGCTGCTTGAGCACATAAATTTCTCTAAATGTAGCATCAACAGGTCTTTAGGCAAGTTAAGAGAGAAGCATCACTTTGCAGTTTCCATCTCATTTCAGCTGACCTGCTTTTCTTTACCCAGAGCTCTGTCCTGAGCCATCAGTGACCCTTTTAGCAAGAGATAATAGTGCTATTACAGCCGCAATGACACTAATGCTGGCAATAGGCACTGCTGGCATTGAGGCGGCCAACAGCTGTTTCTGAAATGTAAAATTAAAGGCAAACATGCTAATATGTTTGATGAATATCACCTTGGAAAGTATGCAGCAATGGGGCCAAGCTGTCAGTGTGACCATGCTGCTGTCAGGTGCCAGAGGAAGGAAAACACATTACTGCATGAAGGCCATCCAAAGCCCCGCTCGCTGTCCTCGTGGCGGGTGGTGAGACACGTGTCCTGGGCTTGGGCTGGGGGAGACAACATCTGCATTGTGCAGGAGGCTTTGGATGGCTGTGTTAGCTCAGTGCGGGGCCAAAATCAGACCGTTTGAAATTTGGTACTTTGCTGTTGAGTGCAACCAGAGCAGCCTCCATATTTAGTGAGAGCAATTGCAGTGTGCTCGCGTTTTCTCACGTTCGTGGAAGTTAAAGCTGGCTCATTTGAGCTGGTCCTGTGATACTGATATATTTTCTGAGTGCACTTGCTGTGGTGGGCTGTTGAAATTCAATATCCTGTTGGAGAAATTGGAGGTGGTTAACAGAAACCAGGAGATAGCTGGTTATCTCCATTCTGTCTTCTCCTTCACAGGGAAACAAATCCTTATGGCCGTGACCTCATAAATTCTCTGTCACTTCACCTTTCCTTCAGAAATTAAGTTACAAGTATAAGTTGCATGGTCAGCACTCATCATTGTGAAGGAGAGCTTAGAAAAATGACTTGCATATTATTCGGGGCAGCAATGTCTCCTGATAGATCACCAAAGGAGAACTCCGGTGCAGTGAGGACATTGGTTTGTCAAGCCTGCAATACTGATGGACGCAAATCCCAGGTGGTTTATGGGAGGGGACCAAATCTCTAGTGATGGTGGCTATTTAGGAAAAGACAAAGCAGATCTGCAGGTTGTATCTGCCTTTGCTTGCAGAGAGCCTGAAATATCTGGGATTTGTGATTCTTCATGATTTCAGCATGTCCGAACTCAGACATCAGCTGTCTGAACTCCATTGCCTACTTAACCTAGAACATGCCTGATTCTCCATAAAGAGTATAAATCAGAAGGAATTTCACTGAAATCAGCAAAACGCTATGAGATTTGATCCAGACTCTCCATTTCTTTCATTGTCAAAGCAGTTCCTCCCAATTACTTCCACCAGCATCTAGGAGGTAAGAAGTCCCATTTACCTCTGTCACGTCTTTGAGCATGAAGTATCGTATGTTTGCTAAAAGGACTATGACTGCAAAAAGGCAAGTGAAAAGTGCTAAATCTCTGATGAGCGCAAAGGGAGGGGACTCATCTCCTCAAATGGATGTGACAGAAGGTTATCGGTTACATACCCTGCCATGTAGGTCTTTCATCCTCATGCTAATAAATCCAACTTGTGATGCTCAACTACAGTTAATAGCATCTGCACAGTATGTAACACTATCTCTGTCTCCCTTCCACTCAAAAAAGATACTTGATGTACTTGAATGACCTAGAGCTATATCCATGAAGAGGGTCTCAGGTTTCAGGGAGATAGGAGTACTCAGACCTTCTCTCTACTAGGAAAAGATGGCAAAAAAGTGGCTACACAGGATAAAACCTGACATGTTCTCAAGTTACCCTCAGAGCACTGAGCTCCCAATCAGCATCTAAGGGGACCATTTGCAAAATTACCCTGTGGATCCCATCACCAATCATTTTTATGTGTCCACAATATGCTGAGGCCTCCTTCTGTAGGAAGAAACCTCAGCCCAATGGCTGCCTTGGAAGGGCTTTGGAGCAGGGTGTTCCCCAAGTTAATCATACTCTGAGATTTACCATTTAGGGTTTTCCTCCTTGCATTTTTGAATGTTACCAAAATACACCTTTACTTGTATTTATGTTACTGACAGTGGGAGTTTGTAAGGAGGTTTCTTTATCCACTATGTTCTCACTTTGAGGTAGCTCCCCTGCTGGGCTTCTCCTTCCCCAGGGGCAAGGCTTACCCCATTGACACAGAAAAACCTGTTGTCTTTTGTTCTGAGATGATCAAGTTATTAGTCTGTGGCTCCCCTTATGCTTGGCAGACAGAATCCTAAAGGCAGCTTTGAAAAGCTCAGCCCATTTCCACAGCATGCCCAAGCAGAGGAAGGGCTTGTGGTACCTAAGTACTCAGAAATACTTCTCAGTTTGCTGTAGTGTGGGTGCAGAAATAAGGCAGAAGATTTATTGGGAAAAAAAAAGATACTGCACTGGCTCAAAGTTCAACTTTTCTGCAGACATTTCCTTCTAGGAATTTTTTCCCTCCCAAAATATTATAACTTTGATTATTTATTGGAAACCATATTTTTTTTTTTACCATAAATGGGCTTTTGAAATACAAAAAAATGCTAGCAATGATATAAACAGATATAAAATGGATATAAACTGTGGAAAGTTTTGTCTCAGAAGGAAAGCTCCTATGCCAGCAATGAATTCAGAGAGAGGGGCAACAGGGGAGCCCATTTCTCAATAACAAATCCATTTCTGTAGCAAAATCTCAGCCCAATCCTTCCAGGATGGGATTTCCAGTGATTTTCACAGATGAAGCAGAGATGGAATTTGTCCATTACTTTGTCTGGCTGGATGACCCCTGTTCAGCTCGTGCTCCTCAGCTCCACATGGGGCTCACTTGGCTGAAGAGTGAAAGTGGGCTGCTCCCAGCTCCTGTCCATCGTGCTAAACCACCTCTGGACGTGACTTGAAGCCACCTCCTTTGCTCACATCCCCCCACCCCCAGGCAGTTGCACCAGGGGGAACAAGGTTTAGGCAATCCCCAGTGTCATGTAATCGAGTTTTACAGTCTGCTGCAAGCATAATAAAATCTTTACTACTGTAGATGTCTTGCATTTTCGAACCCTGTCCAGCAAAAATAACAAGCCCATTATGTGGGAACTAGTTAACAATTACAAGTTTGGGCAAGTTTTACTGAAAGCAAAGGTCAAGATTGGAGGTGGACAAGTGCTCAGCCAGTACCTGGCATCCCCAAAACACTGGCCACCACTGCTGAGGTGGCTTTGCCTTGTCCCCAGTGGTCGCTCCTTTGCAATTCCCATCTGAAGATGAAGGAAGAGGGGATCCCAGCACAGATGATAGTGCTTAATCACATGAATGCTTGCAGCTGAGCCCTGTGATGCCTGCAGAGATACATGGTGGCCCCAGTGGACAGGTGGGGCAGCCACCATGGGCTTGACAGGAGAGGGAGCTGCTATAGCAAAAGGGTGAGGCTTATCTGAAGTCACACAATGAGAGGTGCCCTTGTTTCAAAAGAGGCATTGTGCAAGCAGGCAAGAGGGTTGCTCATGAGGATAAAAGTAATCTGTCAGCTCCTTCTATAAACTAATCTAGGTGGTTATCTGGGTACAGGACATGTGAGCTGTCCCCATCTCCCCTCCAGTCATGGGGCCCAAGGGTGATGCTACTGTCAGACTGCAGATTTCACAATTTTGGGGGCTCTTCTGGTCCAGAATCATCATCTCACTGCTTAGAGCACAGTTGATTCATGGACTGGGGGGTGTAACCCAAAGCCCAGTGTAACCAGCCAGGTTTGTCCCATTGGCATCTGCCATCTTTGGGATCCCCATCCTTGCAAACTGGTTTCTCTTCATCATGCCCAAGCCCCCTTGGCCTCTGCCAACTCAAACTTCTGGTGGCACAGCCATGGAGCAAAACAGACAGAATTTAATGACCTTTAGAGTAAAACTCCCATCCATCTTGGGAAGAGCAAATGAAAGGTTATATATATAGATGGGAAAAAAAAAAAAAAAAGAAAAAAAAAAAAAGGTATGCCCATTTTAACCTGGTAAAATATTACTGCACACAGACCTTTTGAGAAGTTAGAGGTTGAAATAGCAGCTAAGAGCTGCTAATAGTTCCTAGACACAGCTATTAGCAGATGCAGCAGAATAAATTGGTTTGT